TAACAAATAAATAAATAAAGACACAAAAAGACTCAGCAGTACAAGAACAAGATAAAGATCTCCCCAAGGATTTTGACACCAGTCCTACCTCCTCAAACAGATCTGATGTTGATCAGAAAAATAGACACACTTGAAGCCTAAAAGAGCAATATCTATTAAGTGAGACATTTAATCTTCAAAACAGGAAACTTAGTGTTTTATTTTTCCTTTAACTGTGACTTAATGACTTATACATACGTTTAAAAATTAATAAAATGCATCAGTTGTGATAACGACATGCCACAAAAGTCCATTTATCAATAAGAGTAGCATCCATCTGTTGATGGATGGATGTAGTGCCAAAATGAATGAATTTTAGCTATAAATGTTTTTTTTAAACCATTATTTTATTGTTTTTTTGCCTGCAGTGATGCTGTCATTGCTTTAAATAAATAAGAAAATGGCTAACTTGTTTCTTGTTGTCACCAAAGCAACCATCGCTGTCATGTTCTCGTTCTTTCAGCTGCTCCCATCTTCAGGGGTTGCTGCAGCACAACAAAGATTTGACTTGTTTTACATGGGATGTCCTTCCTGATAAGTGCAACCTCAAGATTACAGAACTGCAGCGCTCACCACCAAGTTCCCACAGCCCCACAAGCATTAATGTAATAAATATGATTAAAAGATGTTTTGACCCCTTCCTTGTGCCGGCTATGTTTGACTTTGATGATTAGTACACAACAGCTCAGAAGAATTACATTTTCTTTGATAGATTAGTCATTTTAATTGGCAAACTGAGGTCAGATTTTGTCTTGTAGTAGCTGAGACTTATCCAAAACACATAGTTTGAGCACAAACAGATTGTGCCAGATGTTCAGCTAAAATTTCTGCATGCAAGGCAGCAGGCAACATGCTTTTCTATAGGGAAAGCTTCTTTCACTTTGCACTTTTTTCCCCATCGATTTCTGTAACAGCTTTTTATCACATTTTCAGTGCTATTACTATAAGCAATATCTTCTAATGGAGAAGACAAAGTGCGGACGACAGCACATTAGTTACACATTTAAAATGGCTGGAAATTGCTTTTCATAATTCTTGTTGGCTTTCTCTGCGTTTGGCGCAGGGCCTCTATCTGCTAATATGAAGTCCAATACAACCAATCAATTAGTCAATAAGCTTCTACAAAGGAATGATAAAAGGTGAATTCATCCCCATATTTTTTGACACACCTCATTAGCTATAAAATTACCCTCCATCAATGTTTCCAATACGCGATGCGCTCAGAAAGTTAGTCGTGCAAGTCAGATTTAGTTTATTACGTTAACTCCTAGCCTATTTAGTTATGTGTGCAATATTAAATAGATGGATGATTTTCACTAGTTTGTCAAAATATTGTCACATTTCTTGGAGAGCCTTTATTGGGGTGGGGGTCACTTCTAAATGATGGCTTGCTTATTAGTGGCTGATTGCTTTTAACATACCGTCAGTCAGATCAGCGGTGACAAAAAGCTGCTTATTTTGATTTCCTTTTATGAACGCATTGGTTGACAGCATTGACAAGAATGAAACTTAATCAAATAAAATATAAACTCCCAGCTGTTTTGTCTACTACATAAAAAAATAGTTGTTTTTTTTTAATTAAACGACTACCTTCAAAGTGATTGACTTGTTTTCCAAGGCGTTTATTAAGTGCATTTTAGTACAATAGTTTTCAGAAAGTTACATCTTACAAACCTTTGACACATAATTTTTCACAATGTACGAGTGGCAGCTATACAGAAACAAATGGAAAGAAAGAAAGCCATTCACTCGTCAACAAGGTACCTGTGCACACAATAGTGTCTGTACACATAAACGTGTCGAATATGCACAAAACGCACACTCGCACAGCGACTCACACAAACAAAAGCCGACATGTGCACGCTCGCAATCAACTCTCTCGTTAAATCTGTACCATAGAGAGAGATTGTGACCTGTTTGGAAACAAAAGAAAAAAAAGGAATACATTTAATCCCATCTTTCTTGACGCTGTCCGACCACAACTCTTTGTTTTCTCTGTGTGTGACCACAAGGATGGGAAGTGGATGTATGTCGTTTGATTAGTCTGTAAATCTTTAAGTTTTTGATCTGAAACAGAAAAAAAATAAGAAACTGGTTCAATTTAATGAGTGCATTTTTTGTTAGGAGTCTTGCCTGGTCATTTTCAGTTGAACACAGCTTTTATTGCTCTGATCCACAAATAATAAAAAACAAAACATGGATTTATTCACTAAAACAGTCGTTGGCCCCTCCTTAGACATTTATAGCTCCATGAAACACTTAACAAGCTCTGTTCTTGTGTTTTGTATTCGCGTGTGACAAATGGGTTTCGTGTGAACCAGCTTTCAGAGAGGGACGACAAACCGCCTCTACATTCATTACACTGGAGTGTCATTACAGTGAAATATTTAGAGAGACAAACTGAGCAAATGAGGGGAAAAGAATTACACTGTTGCAAAATGAATTCATTCACCATCTCTTTTGCAAGCTTTTGGGATATAAAGCAAATATGACTGAGATTAATAAATAATTAATACATTTAAACTGAAATGATTGATTCTGTGAAGGATATATAAAAATTGAATGTAATGTAGATCTATAATAGACTACACGTAACTGTACTGTACTGGTACAGTTACATACATAATACATCCGGTACTGATGTTACTGTAAGGTAGATATATTTTGTTAGTAGATCAAATAGTTGGGTCATTTAAAGAAAAAGCAACTGATTTTGACCAAGTAGCAAACTATTAGATTGATTACTGTGTGTTCTAGTACTTAAACTAGAAAAAAACGTAGCAATTATCAATAAAAAAAAACGGCATAATTAAAATATTAAACCATAATGTTCAATAAATAGCTTTATGACTTTTATCTATTTATCTCAACTTAATGATTTACCCTCTTTCTATTACATCTGCACAGTTTTTCAGGTCTCAGTCCACATTTTGCCTATAAAAATCAGATATGACAATAACACAAGAGTAATGTCTTGTGTGAGAGTGTGTGTGTGTGTAACTGTGCATGTAGCTGGTCCCATCAGTCTCTCATCCTGTGGTTGATCAGATGCCTGTCACACAGGGGTCTTAGCATGTTTTTTCACCCTTCCTGGGCCCAGTGAAGCATGGTGCCAGCTATTTCTCTGTGCAGCCTTGGCCTTGCCTAACCCCAGACAGAGCCCAGGACAGCTTGGTTACACCCAGGATAAACGAGCTGGAGACCAGCCAGCTAGCTAGGATAGTATAGTAAGAGATAGAGGGCAGAACGGAAAGATAAGAGGTGGGTCTAGAATAATGAGAGTTTGGGATGGTTAATATACAATTACTGGGCCTTTTCTCAAATTTGAATGTTAATTCGAGACATTATCCCTTATATCTTTTCAAACTGAGCTTATAAAACAAAATAAAATAAAATGACAGGGTCAGTTTTTGTAAAAAAAAAAAAAAAATCAGTTTTAATGACCACATTTGATCTCATTCTAACCAATTTCAAGGTCACAAAAAAAATAAAAATAAACATCACCTGCTGTCACAAAAGCTGAGTTTGAAGCCAGTACCCATAGTTAAAAAAAAATAAAAAAATAAAACTAGTTTTTGTTCAAAAGCAACATACATTTTGCAGTCTAAATAAAAAAAAAATAAATAAAAAAAAAAACAACACTCCCAAGCTAAGAAAAATAAATCATATTTGTGCAGTAACCAGAACCGTTCCAACACTGACAAGTAATTTTACAGGCTGTCATAAATGACTTCCTTTGGGAGTACTGCAGCCAATTTCATATATGAGTGAAACTCTCTTTAGCAGTGTGGCGTTCGGATTTGACTCACCCATCCATATGGTAACAACATATAGCGAGGGCGCATGGATAAACTCAGCAGCTTAACTACAGCGGTCCGTTTAAGGTCGTGTTGCATTGTGATTAGTGTACCCACGAGGGCTGTTTAAGTCTGTGTGTTCATCAAAATGGCATCGAGTGCCTGTTGGCAAACCTCAACCCAGATGTTCATATTCACTGCGCAGAGAAGTGATGCTGATTCACCCTGATTTCCAATGTCTTGATTAGGTGCTTTCCCATGCATTTCAAATTTGTGGAAAATCTTGCAGTAGCACTTCAAGAAAAGCACTAAACAAGGGTTTCCCTAGAATAAAATCAGATAAATTTAGAAAAAATTGACATGAAAATGAGTTTGTCAGTGGGATCAGCAGCTTGCTTACTATAGGTCTGAGTCTGCCAAGACACAACTTTTCATTCTCATGCACTCGGTATTGACCAACACAAACAACAAATAAAAATAAAACGTAACTGTACATGTAAGTGCTCACCAGCAAGAGACAGCATGTGTACACCCACATTTAACAAGGTCTCCAGGTAATGGATATTTTCTTTTCAATTATTTAAACTTCTACAACAATTTTCATACAGATCTACAATAACAGTTCTTTACCCAAGATTAATCGCACATTTTCCTCTGTTATGTTTCAGTCACAAATCAATGTAGAACCCCTAGATTATGGAGATGTACCCCAATTATCTGCTGTTCAGTTAGGAAAACAGGTCATCATAGTAAACTACACATTGCATGTGTCTATCGCAATCTAGTCAACACGTCTTTGCCAAAAATGCAAGCAGAGTCCTGTACATACATACTCATATATAACACCTTCAATATGAAGGTTTATTCTGAACGATATAATCATATTTAGCAAGTGATAAACTTATTTATATTCTCTAGGTGGGGGTGTTATAAAGTCTTTTGGCAAGGCATTGCGACCAGACCTCCACAGGTAGTGTTCTAGTTGAAACACAGGTGGGTGGCATCTTGCTATAGTGGCAAAACAAACAGATGGTTAAAACAATGTATAAGCTTTGAGTTTTCATGTGTTCATTTAAAATACATTATTAAAAAAAATGTTTAAACAAGCAAAAAAAAAAGTAAAAGTTGAAAATGGTGTTTTACTGTACATCCCTGTATACTTCTTCCTCCATTTACTTCTACCGGTAGTTGCTTTTTCTTATGGGCCTTTTTTACTCATCAGATGAAGGCCTCTTCATTTCACAGACTGACAACAGAGTGGGTAAAATCACAGGTCACAGGTTTCTAAATGTCGCACACTTGTGTCTACAATTGAAACTTTTTTCGAGTCCATTTCATACAGAAGAACAAGTTCACCCATTGCACCACAAAGCTCAAATTTGTGAGTTGCTCTCTGTGTTGATGTCTGGTTGTTGGGAGTCGTTTTGGTTTATGGTGACACAAATGCAGTTTGAAACCACAGCAATTGATGTTGGTCTTCCTTTTGTGATAAATGAAGAAACAGTACAAGGTCTGGACCCTGAATGCCTGGGATGGATTGCAGGAAGTATGACAATCGCTATCCATGTGGGAGTGTAGACCCTGGTCTCCTGTTGCCATTCTAGTGGGTTAGATTAAGACGACAGTCTCGACTCTGGCGCGTTCCGATGGATCGGGGGTCATTCGAGGGCTGCTGTTTTTGGTCCTGCGAATACTGCCCTTTCCGTGGCACAGCGCCTCCTGTAGTCATGCCATAGTTGGAGGTGACTGGCTTATCTGCACCCTCATAGACTGGATGTTACTGAGGATTTTCTTCTGGTGGCCTGCCAGGGTCACTCCTATTCTAAGCAAGTCTCTGAGAAAATAAAAAATAAAAAAGAGGCAGAGGAAAAGAAATTGAAAAGTGAGAACCTGTTTTGAAGACATAGATGAAAGGATTTCCATCATATTGAAGGTAGAATGGATCATTTGAATGAGATGCGATTATACCAGCAGAAAAGGGCCTATCATTTTCTGAAGCTGTTACAGTGATACCCTCACTACATATGGGAAGCACAATTTCAGGACAGGCGGCTAGCAGCGATGAATAGAAAGCACAATTTTTCAAAATTAATCCTACATGTCTTGAGAGAATACTTGGCCAAAACACGTCGCTTTGAATTGCAAACAACTGCATCAAAAACTACCGACGCCTCAAGCATACATTTTTAATAAAAATGTTTGAATAATTTTACATTTTCACAACATTGTTAATTAAAATAAACTGAGTGCAAGAATTTTGTTTTGAAAAATGTGGCCATGACCCTTACTCTTAAATAACCCAGCAGCAGTGAGTAAATAAACTTCTTAAAGTTGTGCATTTGAATTATTTAAAACTCTTACTACCTCAAAACATGTTACTGTTATAATACCAAAGTAGCACACAAAGATCTATTCCCATCACTGTATAAATGCATTATTTTTGTCACATAAATTACTATTTTTGTTACCTACACGTCACAGTGTTTAACGTTACGCAATAAATGAATGACTTGAGTCACTGGGTGCATTCAGGCTAAAAATTCAAGCACTTGACATGGAGGCATTTTATACAAGTGCGCCCGTCAACAGCCGTTAAGTGTTTGGATATTTCATTTGCACAAAAGCAAGTGAACTCACTCTGAGGTCATCTGAGCCACCAGCTGCAGGGAGGTAAAGCCTGAGTTGAGGAAGTTGTCTCTGTACTGGCTCATCTTGATGGCACTCAGCCAGTCCTCGACTGAACTGAAGGTGTTGAAGTCAGGTATGGATCTGTCCAACAGTGGCTGAGAAGGCCTGAAAAGAGAGAGAAGAGAGGAAAAGGGGTTAAAAAGGGGCTATGGTGTAATATTTAGAATAACTGTAGGGTTGGAGGAGGCTGACATTCATGTGGGCGGGTTTCAAAAGATACAAAATAAGTTTAATTTCAGCGATTTAACCTTAGTATAAACATACTTTGTTGGTCATGGCCAGTCATTATCAGGCCAACAATATCTTCAAAATAAGATACAACATGGTCTGAAAGTGTATTTTCTATAGAGGACTTGAGGGCTAGCATGCTCAACTGTAAAAACTCAGGTTGACATCCAGCCAAAAGTTCACCTGGTGCAAAATGGCAGCGACCCAACTCACACAGCCAAAACAAATGGCTTCAGGCCTCCGAATGACCCTCAGTAGCTCAGCCAACCCGAACGCTCTAGTTAATTCCTATAGAAGCCTAATGATTTTAAGACATTGTATCCAATTTTACTTTGTTTTCTTTTTTCTTGTTTTATCCAGTTAGGCAAACTGTTAAATATAATTACAAAGACAGTCTGTTCAAAACATTTTTTTATTTAATTGCTGCCAAATAATTGCTAGTGGCATTTCTTAAATTAAAATATCCCATGTGCATTATAGTAAATACATGTTTCTGTGTACTTTAGATAGGCTTTTCTTTGTGTTTGTGCTTCACCACTACAAGGTTATGAGGTAAAAGTGTCAGTATTGGGACTATATGGAAAAGGATAAAAAACACAAACTAGAGTGGAAAAGTTCAGGTTTGATGTAACCAAGAGTAATATCACTATTAAAAAAAAACATGTAAGAGCAGAGTTGTTTTGTGTGTAAATGCTCCACAAACAGATGAAAAGGATATTTAAACATATCTAATATGAAGTTGTGTCTTGCAAAGTGTTTACTCACACTGCAGGCATGTTGGCTACAGCTTTGAGGCTGGTTGGGTTACGGATCATCTTGTCTAGGGTACTGACGATGTCAGCAAAGCGAGGTCGTACGTTGCGGTCTTTCTGCCAACAGTCAAGCATCAGCTGGTGCAAGGCACTGGGACAGTCCATCGGGGGTGGCAAACGATAATCCTGTTCAATAGCATTGATCACCTAAGAAAAAAGGAAGGTCATTTTTATGATGCTTTGCTTTGAAATGTGAAGAAAAAAAATCATCCGTCCTCAACAAAGTTTAAGTTATCAATAATTTTGAAAAAAAAAAAGACTAAAATGAGCTGACATTAGACAAATTATTAATCCCTGTTGATGTCAACCAGCTTTGTCCGTTAACAAAATATCTCATAAACCTTTGTTATTTTATTGAAACTTTTACAATTGAATAATGCTTGGACTCAATGTTATTAAGATGGAATGAGATCCATGAGAGTAGCGATGAGATCATTAGAGACAGAGCACAAATTGAACAACTGGGAGATAAAGTTAGAGACCAGACTGAGATGGTTTGGACATGACCAGAGGAGGGACAGTGGGTATATTGGTAGATGTTAGAAATGCAACTGCCAGGAAAAAGACAAAGAGGAGATATATGGATACAGTTAGAGAGGACATGGGTAGTTGGAGTGAGGACAGAGTGAGATGGATGACTTGCTGTGGTGACCCCTGAAGAGAGAACAAACAAACAAAGAAGGACTGAACCACATCCAAGATGGCCACCACACAAAAAATGGCTATAACTCAGCCAGTCTTTCAGTAACTGAGCTAAAATTTGGTGTGACAATAGCTGAGAGTCATTCACAAAACATATTCTAAGCATGACACTTTGTGCACTGCGCCAAATTATTTTCAAGGTTAACTAAAACAGCTACTTCAACTGTCGGTTTCTCAACATAAGATAGTCTAAAACTCAGGCATGAAAGGCAGCAGTTGATCTACACTCTTTCATAGAATACCAGGGATTTTTTATTTATATTTGCTTCTTCGTCAGATGATCATAAAATATGCAAGAAAACAAGCAAACCAACCGACATCTTTTAGACCACCCCTTGAGTTTGCTCAAAGCAACATCTTGCAGCAAACTGTGACTGTCAATCAACACAGAACACTGTTTACAAAGATGTGGGAAAAAAATACCACTCAGGTAAATTGTGATCACCAACTGATTTGTTCTAATAATAATTCTTTCTTTGTTTTTTAAATTCTGAATGAGTAGCAAACCTCCAAATCTATTTTCCTTCTTATTTTTTTTTTCTGAGGTTATTGGCACATATTAAAAAAAAATAAAATAATAGAAAGCTAAAATACATTTACCTACCTACAACTAAAACATACTTAAAAAAAAAAACAAAAGAAGAACAAACAAAAAAATAAACACATTTAGTAAGTGAAATTTGTTTAAAATTTCTGATCACACAAGTGGTAAACTGAATCCAGTTGCTGCCATTTCCATTACTTTTTGACCAACTGGCTGACTGACAATAGCATGCACTTCATTAAAAACAACATTATTGGAGTTCTCTTTGATTTTATTAGGCATATCCACTGAGTAATGGTGACACACTCATTTCTGCCTCACTCCAGCCCTGGCAGCACCCCTCTCTACCACTCCTAACTCCTGCCATTCGCTTAAGTGACAGTTTGCATTCAGCCTGATGTGCCCTTTTTCCTGACACTAGCCAATCATGTCAGCCCTGGAGGACGCAATGAGGAAATAGAGTGAAAACACGCTGTGGTGTTGTAGGAGCCACTAGGGGAAACAGACAGATTTCAAATAATTAAAGTAGTTAAGTGCATCCACTTGACATGTGCCTCTTAAAAACTTCTCAGGCCACGTTGCAGTTAACAACTAAGAGTTTCAGAGGAGTCACAGTTCAAGTCAAGTGTTTAGAAACTGGATTGTAACTTGAGATGCATGGAAGACCTTGAAGTAGCGGGGATATATCTTGAGGCTATAAGCTTCATATTATTCTGTTTTTTTTTTAAAAAACATACAAAAACAAAAGGTTATAAAATGTAACAAGTGAAACACGTTTGTTCTGCATCAACAAAAGGCTTTCAGCCTGATTTTGAAGACTAAGCATTACGGAGGACCTTGCACAACAATTTCAATATATCTAACCTATCTGTGTCGATGTCATCTTTTCTCTTTACTTGCAGGATAAGAAACTAATTGAAGATCCAGTGCAAAAGATACTATCCTTAAAAATAGGCATTTTTCTCTAGATTGCCAACTCCACTGTGAATCTGAGTGCTTCTCAGCAGAATCTGCACACATGGCGTGTAAAAGAAGGGCAGAGGGAGGGGTATAAAGGAGGGCTTTGATGCTATATTGAGCAAGGGGGATTTAAAGAGAAGAAAGAAAACAGTGGCTTTAACTTTTGTGTGGGTGTGGAAGAAGACGCAAGATGGCAAAAGACAGTGTGAGTGTTCTAAAAGTGTGAGTTTGTGTGCGCTGAGGAGGCAGACACGCTGAGTGGTGCCAGTCCCACCAGGCAATATTTGCTTCTGGCCCACTGAGGCAACATCTGCTTGGTTGGACACTCCTGGTGGAGTAAGGTCCTCAGAGGACTGATGGTTGGCTAGTTGTCTCACAAAGTAGCGCTTAGGGAGAAGGACCTCAGTATGGGACACGATCCAATGGTTGTGCATGTTTGTGTCTGTGCCTGTGAGGATGGACCTTGTCCAAGCGGACATGGGGAACAAAGCAGAGCTCTCAGCAATCATTCATTGCTCTCAAAAGATGGCCAGGAAGGAAAGGGATCGTGTGAGGATTTGCCCGTGATAAGTCTACTTTCAAAGTCAGAGTCAAGGACATCTTCAGTGATGTGCTAAGAAAAGAAGCTGATAGAAGACAGGGTGAATAGAAAATGTTTTTACTTTTTTTTTTTCATATGAGGTTTTCCTAGTACTGTATATGAGGTAAATGCCATAAAACTACATTTGTTTAGATAAATAAATTTGAAAAGTACAGCAGAAAGTAAAAATGTAATAACTAATTTGATTTAAACTGTGTTCACCTTTTGTTTCTTTTATATTTTTCAAATTCTAATGAAATGGACACTTGAACTTCTTTAGAATCTGCCACCTTCTGCAGTAGTGTAAATGTTTTGGTTTTTTAGCTTCAGTAAGTCATTGCTTTTCTGCTCATAATAATTGAAATACAAATCCACATGCACACCAACAAAATCCCTGCAGCTGAGTATTGCAGCTTTTTTTTCTCTAGTAAAACAAAAAATAAACAATACTGCTACAAAAAAAAAAAGAAGTAACTTTTTAAAAACAAGCATTGCTTTTTACAACAGTAATTTGCGGTAAAGGATTATTTCATCCAAAAAAACAAAAAAAAACCTAATTCACATTTTTTTTTTTTTTTGCCTAATGGCTTTGTTGGTGCAACTCAAACAGTTGCAGCCTTGTGCTCTGATTTATTAAACCAGATATATAATGTATTTTTGAGTTGCAAAATGCTTTTCACCATATTTTCAACCATTAATGGCAATTGTCCTTCATCTGCAGAAAATGTGGCAGTATGTAGT